GGTTTTTCAAAAATCACTATTCCAAAATACATTTTTTCTAAAATTTAATTTTAATGGAGTCCAAACAAAGGCTTATAAGTTCACTAAAAACGAAAAATAAAGATATATTTTTGGACATGACATAAATAAATATGATGCATATGCAAATTATTAGTATTTTAATTTGTGAAGTTACTTGACTCGGACGAAGTGATTCCGTTAGATCAAAATCACAAATTCAATTATTTCAAGGGCACACTTGAAATCGAGTTAGGTTTTGATGGTCGAAATTTTTAACCTATTAAGAAAAAGGATAATAATGCAACAAAGCATATGGCCCCCCCAAAACATTAAAGAGTGCAATAATATAGGCATATCCTTGGTCCCTTTAAGCCCTCGCGATCCATGCTTTTTTAGTGCATAAGCTCTTGGACCACACACTAAAAATTTTGTATATGGAGCCAAAGCCAAAGGTTCATTGAGAAGGAAAGATAATATTTGTGGATTTCTCTGCCATTCCTATTAATGTGACACAAAAAAAAAAAGTTGTTATGAAGTGGTTGCTTTGTAAGGATTGTTGGACTCTTAGTGGATCACATGAGCGTCTTAATCACAATTATGATTTTAATTTCGATCACTCATTTTAAAAGTGTTCATTTTTCTCACATGTCTAATTCGAGTAAAGAATATGAGGATATTCGAAAAAATTCTACTACAGAGCTAGAACGTAGAGAATGATCATCAATAAATCGTATCGCCAATTTCAATTCTATAATTAAATGAATACATGAATTTCCATTCCAATTTTGTGACATTTCGATTCTCGACCTTAAATTTTAGTGACATTTGGATCCCTGCTTATGAATTTGTCCAAAGTCCGTCAAAATGTCACATAAATATTATTAAGAACATTGACGAGGACTCGAGTGTTCATTTAAACGAGGTTAACTAGCATAATTGCATAATGAAAAAAAATTTTATATATTTTTTAAGGTTTTGATTCGTCTTTGTTTGAGTAAAAGAAAGCTATGTTCAGAAATCAGTTGATTTAAAAATATTAAAAACCACCCTTTGTTATGTCATACATAACAACAAACGTGGCATCTATCATTTGCGTACATACGAGATTTGAGTTAGGAAAAATTTAGAAATTGAAATTTTGTACACTTTCATAGTAAACATGGCCTTTCAACATGCAAAAAATTGAACTGTAAGGCAAAGACTTTAGGGAACAAGTCTCATTTCAATAATATAAAATTAAAAAAACCATGTCACAATCCCATGTTCTAGACAACATGTTTTTGGGCGCTTTACAAATGCCTTTTTAAATGCAGTTCTAATTTTAGGCAAGAATTATATATACAACAATGAACAAATAATCTAGTTTTAACGGTCAAAGCAAACAAATCTTTTATTTCGATTTCGTTAATTCAATATGAATCAAATCTCTCAACTTGAATCTACGGCCGATCGATTAACAACTTATCCTTTTATGATTAAGCATTCGAGAAGTTCAAATCTCGTTCTCGGCCTTTGATCTATTCATGCATACTTGCACTCGCACATACACACACATACGTAATTGATCTCTTAAATATCAGTGTTTAGCTTATGCTAAGCACTAGGTGACGTGACACACTACAAAAGGTGGTGTAATCAGTTTTATAACGAACAATTATCTTTCACCATCTATTGTAGTGTGCCACGAACATTTTCCATGGAGTTCCTTTTCCAAAATTTCACTCACGCGCCTCCTTTTCCCACTTTTCGATGAAATTGTTTTCTTGTCGTTTTGGTAGTTTTTGGTTTTCCACCTTTTTTTTGGCAATTGAAAAAAAATATCACTTTTATTGACAATTTTCGTACAAAACAAAGCCAAACGAACACCAAACTTTCAAGATTTTTCAGGTAACAAATTATACCAATCAAACACAATTAATCATAATTTCCAATAAAACAAATTTTAGACAATTCAATTTCATGCAATTCATTTTCTTTTCACCTAAATTCCACATTTGCAATGAAACGGATCATTAGTGTGTCATGTCATTAGATGCTTAGCGTTTTGGCATCTAAGTAAAGATTGTAGTATCAATTCTACGTCCAAAAGAAATGGATTGTGACCTTGAAGATGTTATCCTAAGATATTATTTGCTTAGACTACTTATTATCTTAAGGAAGATAGATAGCACTAACTTGACTAAAAGCAGCGCCAACATTAGACCTTTATAGAATCCTTTCTGTACATTGAGTCCTACTCATGTTTGTGTGTCCTATCACAAATCACATCAGGCAATAAACTAGACAACCAAAGATATGACCAATTTCACTTGAATGGTTAATTTCGTATGATATTGCAGTAAATATCGAAATAGAGTAATACTAGGCTTGTTAATATGTCTCTTACTATAAATGGAATTACCTAGGAGATTATATAAGAAAAAGAATCGCTTTATTCGGTAAGTCATCACATTTTTTTGACAAGCATGACGGTTGATTTGCAACTCTCAATTGTTATCCCTAGATTTTATGGGTTAACAATGCCATATGATGTACGTTTCTCTAGTATTTTTTTGCGAAGTGGCATAGTTTGATGGGTCACGTAGATATACCAATTTGGTTGCTTGGTGTCTGCTTTGTGAATTATGATTCTATTTTAAACTTGATTAATCTTCTCGTATATTTGGCCAGTCTTCTGTTGACTTGGCTTGTTTTTACTCGTTCTTAGTCCCTCAAATCTGACTTAATTACAATCTTTTTTATCACGCTAGCTCAGTATCTAGAGATGCTATGCTATTTCTCTATACGACAAATCTTTAAGTTAAACTTTTACACAATTCTTCAAAAGTGACCACTAAAACACACATCTATACATCAAGTAGATACAAAAAAATACTAGGCATATCATATTTAAAACTAGTTTTCTTGCTTTTCATGATTATTATATTAATCAATCATAATGGTTGCTTCTCCATTGTGGAATGCATGCTTGGATGTTGGGTGGTTTTGGTGCCTAAGAAAGTATAGACAATTCAAGATCCTAAAAAAAATTATAATATAGGCAAAATCCTTCACTATAAAGATTATTCAATACATGTATCTTTCAATGACTTGGTCTGGTTTCTCTTTTATCAACCACCATATATACTAATGAATTTAACTATAAAGTGCATACACACACTATTATTAAAATATATGTCACAAGATTATGTTCATGGGACAAGTTTAACTTTCTTGATCACATTGATTTTAAAAGGTTTTAAGGGTGCTAGTGACACCATATAAATATTATTTAAGCAGTTTGAAATTAAAGGTCTCCTATTCGAACGTAGAGTATGAAGTTGGCGTTCAAACATTTTTGCTAATTTTATATAGAGTACTCTCGATATTTATGTCTGAGGCGACAAGAATGTCCCTTTAGTCTTTTTGACATTAACTCACAATGTGTCGAGTGAAATGAAAATTGTTTTTACCTTCCCAAAATTATTGGGATATTTATACTTGTGAAGCGCTCCCCACGTAAAGGATTAAGATATAGTTGATTAAGCGCGATCTTTAATAAATTTGGAAGAGATCTGATTGGGTAAAAATAGTTGACTGACTTCAGTTATTTTGGTGAATTTTGCATTAAGTTAACTTGAAAAAGTAAACTTTTTTATTTCGAGTACTGTATTAAACAATTCATATAACTGTTTATAAAAAAATCAGGCAGTATATACGATACTAATGAACAATGATGAAATTGAAAGTGAAAATATGGGCTGAGCGCATGATAATTGGGCTTCCAGTGACATTTACTTTGGGTTTAATTGGGCTGCATATGTTCAATGTTATCCATATTTTATGTGGGTTATGACGTGTATACCCATTGGTCGAATTTGGGAGCAATATCAGCTGAATTTTTTGAGTTTTTAAACTTCAATTTTAATAATTTGCATCTTCAATCGCACATTTTATTATAGAAAAAATTCTGTTAATTAGGTATATTTTGGTTAATAATCTAAAAACTCGTCGCGATTCTTTTAAATATTTCCAAATTTAAATTAGATTTCTAAATTATAAATAAATAAATAAATAAAATATTTTAATTTGTGTCCGGACATCCGGTCTATTAAATTAGGACATCCTCGGCCAAGTCTATTCATTGCTATCCCATCAATTACACCACCAAATTAAGCCTATGTTTGTTTATCATTATTTCAAAAAAATGTTTGATACAGTAAGATTCTCCACCACACATTCATCCAATAAAATATTGTACACACAAACTAATAAAATTACTTTACTTTTCAACTACACATTCTCCAAAAAAATACTATTCATTACTCTATTTTTCTCCCAATAATGGGAGACAAACAACTATTTGTACAAAAAACACTGCTTTACAGATGAATATGTGGCAAATTTTTTAATGGTTGGATTAACTGTGTATTTTATCAAAATGTAATGTTATTTATCATCATAATGATAGATTATTGGTATGACAACCTATTATTCTCCACATTTTTGTCTCTTTCCACCATCTTTCTCGTAAAAATTGAATGGTTCAATCGCATTATTTCATATAAACTGTCATATCATCAATATTACATTATCACAATGATAAAAAAACATTAATTTTTTTTATCAAAGATAAAGTAAAAGGTTGCCAATGTAATATCTGCAAGGCACGGTGTCGGTGAATGTATAGCATGGTTGCCCCCACCACCATGATTTTACATTTAAACGCGCTCGAAGTTGAAATCGAACACGTGTCTTCTGAGCAACGCGCTTAACTTTTTTCTGTAATATTCCAGGTCGGAAACTGACATGTGGGTTTCTTCGAATCCCGCTTCCGCCCCGCCCAACTAATTTCCGAAGTATTGAAATTTGGAACAGAAAGGGTGTTTTCGTCCTTTCATTAACAACTTCTCCCACCTTTAAGAAAAAGCAAAAGCAACCAATCTCGACCATTATTCCCTTTGCCTTTCATCAGTTTTCACCTTAATTAGATCATTTGATACAGAATTCAAGAGGGGAAAATGGGGTTGCTCTCCAATAGGTAAACGATTTTTTTTTGTTCATTTGATGCCTGAAATTTTTATGAAATTCCAATTTCTCATTCTTTTTGGGGAAAAAAATTGATTTGTAAATTGGGTTTTTTTGTTGTTGTACATGAATGTGATTTAAATATGCAGAGTTGAAAGGGGCAGCCTCAAACCAGGCGATCATATTTATTCCTGGCGTAATGCTTATATCTATGCCCATCACGGTCAGTTTTAAATCATGTGTTGTACTTGTTTGGATTTAATTTTGTTGAAGTAGATTATTGCTTTGTTAATGTGGCTGATTAATGGGAATTCAACATTTGATGGTGTTGTATGTGTTTGGTGATATATATATATTATTTAATCGTTAAAAGGATTTTTGAATTTAGGTTATAATTTTTGATTCGATGTCCATAATCGTTTAATTTTGATTCCTTGAGAATAAGATATTAGATTTTGTGCTTAAGTTGAGGATATTATACCACTGGGAAAAGTTTGTAAACTTATGATTCGCAGTTCGCGGAAGTATTCAAAATTACTTGTATTAGTAGAACAAAAGGTTTTTATACAGTGCATTTGTGATTTATATCCATGGAAGTGGATTTTAAGATGAGCTAATTAAGTCTCGCGTCTTAAAGTTAAGACTTAGTTTGTGAGCTCATAAGCACTTGGACATGGGGACCATCCCCCTATTGTCCAATATGGTAACAATGGTATCAAAGTTTTGTTAAGGACTCTTGTTGCTGAAGAGTTGCTTCTAGTCGAAGGCTAGGTCTGGAAAGTCACGTAGTTGGGAATAAGGGTTACCGTGGAAGTCGTTTTTGGAATGTGTATTGGATTGTGAGGATCCTAATTGAGTCCCACTAAATAAGGCTCTCAACTTATGGGCTATAAGAACTTGGGTGATCTCTTCTATTAATGGTGGGTTCTTTCCGATGTGCTTGTAGCATTATGTTCATCGACAACTACATCAGTGAAAGGAACTTTGTTTGTTGGTCTCAAGTGAGATGTGAGTGCGATGGAGGGTGAGAGGACAACGAGTTACCAGTTATCTTAATAACAATTGGCAATGAATGGCAACCTGCGGCTAACAATAGTAATTGGTGATTCTTGTGTTCTACAGGAAGTTTAGGAGGAAAAGTATTTATCTGCAAATTGAGTGGATATTGTTGGTTTGGGACTCATATTTCTGCATTCACTTCAATTGCTTGACTTTTTTGAAAGTGGCGGACCTTCCAACATAATTGAAATTTTTAGATGTTTATGCAACGTGATTATGCATGATTGTGGGTAAATAAATAATGATGAAGAAAAACTCTATCATCGTGGTTGACTAGGAGTCCACATTTGTGGAGGAAAAAGTTGTGATTTCATAGTTGGATTTTGTGCCAAAATTGGGACATTTGTTCTGGAATTAACAGAATTTTCGGCACGATGCTCATATTATAATCTGCACATTCTCATTTTTATTCTTGCAGCCATTTTGTAAATCTATTCTCATCTTTACTCTTGCAATCATTTTGTAAATCTAAAATGCTGCAAGGATTAGAAACACCTTAAGCAAATTTATTTCCCAACCAAATAGTTTACTGCCTTTTATCTCGTTTACAATCCTCTCTGCCATCTTTCATGAACTCAGAGGCAAAGATCTGATGTTCATGAATCCGCTGCTGAGCTGATGAACAGGCATCATCCCACTCTCACGCTTGAAGGATTTAACAATGCCAAGCATATCCCTCTGCCTCAAGGTTGCTTGGTTGCTCAAAATGGATGATAAATCACACCAACTTTGATAAATTTCTTTTCAACAGTACTTAAGCTTGTAACTCTTTTGTATAAATACAAAAATAATCCTAGAGTTACGTGGTAATTGACAATTTGAGATTCTTTGCACTATGCCCTTCTTTTGATTTCTAATTTAAGGAAAAAATTGGTGAGTACTTGTTCTTCTCAGTTCAGCATAAATTTGATAATTGGTAGTACTTTCCTCAAGCAAAACTCTCCAGTCTCCATCCTTGTTCTCACTCAAAGTTTGTAATTGCTTGCCACAATTCATCCCCTAGCAGCTGTTTAGCAACCCGTTCCTGTTAAAACATCACCTTCACGATTGCCAAATATAGATAAGCTGATTGTTGTTACATGAGTACATCTCTACTTGATCATAAATGGACATTTGCCCATTTGGTCCTGTAACATTGCGTTGGATTTCACTTTGTTTCTGGATGGGTATGTTTATCATGTACTTGAGGGGATAAATAAAGATACTGAGTCGAGATTTTGAAACAAGGATAGCAGGTTTCCTATTCCCCTTTTTTTTTCTTGAAGGAATTTGATGTGTTTTCCGTGGTTTTAATAAGATATAGGCAAAGTTGAAGGTTATTATATCATCTATAGCATCATATTATATGAGCATTATCTACCTGCGGTAAAACTCATTTTGGCTTTGCATATATGTGAAGCTCACATCATTAAAAGCTATCTTTATAGTGATGGAAATAGGATGATACTTATTTCTAATGTGATACCTTGTCCAAGGAAAAGTGCTCACAAACCAATGTGATTTCCAATAAATTCAGAATCTTGAAACTTTGTTTGAGCAGCTAGAAAGCTGTGGGTACACTGTCGTCCAGGAAAAGTAGTAAAGGAAATAAAAAATTTCTGTCCTCTACATTTTAGGTGAAAAGCAAAAATTCAAAAAATCTGAAAACGTCAACCAAAATTGTACAGAAGGGATGTTCAGTTTTTTTCTGAAGTGAATTTATGAAGTTGGTGATGTCGAATGGCAAAATGGGAATCCATAGTTCATGCATGTATTGTATATTCATACGAATATCACTGGAGAAGAACTGGTGAACTGAGTCTCACCACCGGAGTACTTTCTCTGCGACTATTGGTAAATTACCACTATAAACATTTTCTAGCCTCTTTCTCTATGTGGATATTGTTACAAGATGCTAGAGGCAGCTCAACTAATAAGTTATGGCATTAGCACAGCCTGATCCTGGCGTTTTATATTATTTGTAGCATTCTTTTAGAATTTTTTTGTTACTGATTGTTTGAGATTGGAAAGTTAGGAGGAATCTAATCCATTGGATCTAGTTAGAGACCTAAAAATTCCACCCGGGTTTAAAAAAAGATCTCTTACTTTCATTTGTTAACCGTCTTCATTATCTACTGTTGTTTTACAAATGATTTTTTGACAGTGTGACACAAGAATTTGCCTGTTTGTTTGTCTTCTTTTTCTGGTTATATGTTTACTCAACAATACATATATTATATTACCTAAATACGGATGACTCCAGGTATCTATGTTGAAAATGACAAAGTTATACATTTCACTAGACGTGGCCAAGAAGTAGGAACAGGAACTGCGTTAGACGTGCTTTTAGTAAGCTCTGGACCATCTCGACCTCATGTACCTTGTGCCACGTGTACCCCACCCGAGGAAGGTCATGGGGTTGTGTCCTCATGTTTGGATTGTTTCCTTGCTGGCGGAATTCTGTATCGCTTTGAGTATTCAGTTAGCCCTGCTCTCTTTCTCGCAAAGGCACGTGGAGGGACTTGTACTCTTGCCGTCTCAGATACTGATGACCTTGTCGTCCATCGAGCAAAATACCTGCTTGACAATGGATTTGGTTGCTATAATGTATTTAAAAACAATTGTGAGGACTTTGCAATTTACTGCAAGACGGGATTGCTCGTGCTTGATCAAAGTTCATTGGGACAAAGCGGACAAGCTGTATCTATTATAGGTGGCCCTCTTGCTGCCGTTTTGTCTACACCACTACGTCTTGTCACCACCAATGTTTATGGAATGGCAGCAACTGCTGTTGTAGTTTATTGTGCCAGCCGGTATGCAGCTGATATTGGCATGAGGAAGGATGTGGTTAAAGTACCTGTTGAGGATCTTACGAGGAGGCTTGCCACGGGCTTCCTTCAGGTTGTTGAACCGACTCTTCCAGCTCCTCCATTGCCGATCGGCTAGTGTCCTAAGTTTATTTCAAACCATGTGTGAATGTTGAGTTTATATGGCTGTTGCTGGCTATTTATCCATTGAACGGGAAGATGTATGCTCTTATTCGTTGTTGTGTACGATGATATATCGACTTGTGTGCACTTTTATGTTTTGTACAATAATGGATTGATATATGGTCTTTTATGCTGTGATGGATGGACTTGTGATCTTTTATGTTGTCGCGACTTGCAATGCTTCAGTTCTTGAAAGTCAGATACATGAAATTCTTCCATTTTGCACATCCAATGAAAGCAAAGTGCATGTTTGACAACCATTATTTTGAATTTTTTACGTACTCATTCTCAACAACACATTTACACAATAAAATATTTTGCATGTAAACTCAAAAATATTTTTTTCTTTTTGACCGCATATTCTCCTAAAAATCACTATTCAAAATATTTTTTTCATTCTAAATAATGATTGTCAAACAGGGGCTAATACAATTTCTGAGAGAAAAAATGTGGACTGGTAACTTGTAGCGTTTTATAATCGATCTTATTAGGACAGTCATGAACATCAAGTCTCGTCTTACTTTTGCTCAGTAGTAATCAAGGTCAAATGGACGATCATTTTTTGTTCCATCAAGCGCAGATATGCTCTTAAATTCTCTTAAAAATTATCATAATAAATTATATACTCCATGCTTTCACGGTTAAAAAGGTCAAATGCATTTGACTATTGGCGTGGGAATGGGATAACAGGGTCTACTTTAACTAATTTCTTAAAAACTTTTGACATGTTTTGATGATCATGATATGTGACTTTCGTGAAATTGCCTATTAAATGGCTTGAAAATTTTAAAAAATTTAGAAAGGCATTCAACGTATAATATTTCTGCTTACGGAAAAAAAGATAAAGATAAACTTTACAATTCTATTTTCAATCATGCTATATATACATCACGGTTGACAACAAATTTGACACTCTTTCGTGTAACAACAATTACATCGTTGATTTTAAACGCATTCATCTCATCACTGTACAAATTCCTTTCACTTAGGGAGATATTAACCAATGATATGCATCTAGCTTAAATTTTCTATTTTAGTTTGGTAGAAAGTTTTGGGGTTGCTCTTTTAAGGGTTTATTATACCATAGTTCCCCCAACCTTTTAAACTTCCCCAATTCATTCCCCTAATAATTTTGTCGTACTTCCATCCCTAACCTTTCAATAATTCACACATATCGTCCTTCATGATGACTTTCATCCAAATCTTCCTTTTAAGTTAGGCACTAGGTGTATATAGCATGCTTTTTCCAAAAGGAAAATTTCGTCAAGTCATTCATAACTTTCCGTGTAGTACGAAAAATCTTATATTAATCTCTTCAAAATTACTCACAACGTTATGCTACAGTAGTTTTCCTTTTTTGTCTCCTTTACTTTTATGGAAAGTAGGCTCTACAGATGTGGTAATCGCATGAAGTAATTTACAGGTCAACCATGCTACACGTACACTTTAGTTTACATTTTGATTTATACTCTACCATGTGACATGATTTACACCATTGATTTTGAAAACACACACCGCATCATTGCACATATTCCCTCCACACAAGGGGGGAACGTCATTAAGAATGTACACGAAAGTGTACATCTAACGTAATTCTTTACAGGTTATTGAGGTCGACACGAAAATTAAAAGGAGAGAATAAAATATTATAAATTGAGGATATATGATTCCAAGTATAGAATAGAAGACTAGAAATAGATATCAACGAAATGCAAGCCAAAAGGGGAAGACATGTCCCAACACAGCAAAGCATATGTAGTTCATGTTTGATTCAACTAAAAGAATTGATTAAAATTTGAGTCAGAATCAACAATTAATTAAACTACTAATTTCATGGGATCTACAATTTTCAAACCACATATTTTACTAACTTTTATCGAAATTTACTAAAAATATGTTTTTAACTAAACCAAATGGAGACATAATAATCTTGTTCATAATTATATAATTCCAGTTTAATGGGGATTAAAATATAATTTTTAGCAGATTCTGATAAAAATTGATGAAATATAGGATTGAAAAATTATGGATGATATGAAATGTATGGTTAAAATTAATATTTTAATTTTCACCGCATAAATTTGGTTTTTGTGGGCACATCAAATAACCAACAGTTCATGAACAAGAATAATATTGCTCAACAGTCAACAACATCGAATATACACCAAATCAAAACCAATCAACAAAATTTTACTAGGAAACAAAGCAAGAAATATTTCACATCAAATCAAGAGCAGCACTTAGAGATGAGACATGGAATAACAGTAATAGGAGGTGGTAAAAGTGTAACTCGAACGCTTGTTTGATAAAGATTTTTTGAGAAGTGATTCTTCGATTATTTTATTTATTCTTTTATTTTTTTTATCCAGATATTAGTATTTGGTTTATTTTTTATTTTATTTTAAGAAAATAAAAAATAAGTGCGATAAAATCAATTTTAGACTTGAAACATCGACTCCGCGTAAATTGAAAGTCTTTTTTCAACTTTCTTGCCATGTATGTACATAGAAATTCATAGAATGCACAAAGATGCTCTTTATCCAATATCATTGTTATCATGACATCAAGATATTAATTGCAATATAATCATGATAACTATTATGCATCATTCATAACAATTGAATCAACAAATAGAATTAACTTTACTATAAAGTTATTGATAATTATCTCTAAGATAGAACATGCATCTCAATCACTTAGGAATATAATTAATAAATCTTCCATCTTAGTCACCCAACATTGAAATCAAAGTTTTGTAGAATAGAAGCAAAATATTACAAAAGGTAAGAGAATTTTCTAATGCACAAAAATGTTAAAAATGTACCGAGTTCACGATAGTTCAATCTGTATTGACTAAAATCCTTGATAGATCAACTCGATCCCATTGGAAAAGCAAATCAACAAAGCTTATAATAATAAATTATAAGTGGATCAGACTTTATTGTTAACCTCACAATTTTTAGGCAACACGACTTTTACATACTTATTATCTATATAAATCTTAAAGACTAACAACGTATAATCTAATAAATCGATTTAACAAATTGTATCCATCCAATTCATCCCGATTGATCCAAACCCGACCCGATAATACGGTATATATCCATATTGAATCTCCTATTCAACATGAACTCGTGTATTTAAGCCACATTATTTTGGAAGAATGTATTTAGGAATAGTAGATTGATGGAGAATGTGTGGCTGAAAAAAGAAAGAAAAGTTATTGATGTGATGGAAAATATTATTTTATTAAAAAATCTGTGATTGAAAATGAATAGAAAAATAAGAATAAAAATTTTAATGTGACGGAAGAAGGGACTCAAATTTAAATTCAAATCCGAATTTGGATAGAGTTCAAGTTCGTGTCAAAAGGGTAAAATCGTCCGTAAGTCACGATAAAAACTAGCATTTATTAAACCCAAAAACAGAAAAATATTCCCATACTCGTTGGACTCTGTCACGCAGTTTTTGCTTGTATCCCAAGTAATACAAAGCATCTTCTCTTCCAATTCCCTCGTCCGGCTACGTGGATTATGCATTTTTAATCATTTATTCCAAAATTGCCCCCACCGCCTTATTAGAATTCCCAAACTATCCCATTTAAACCCCCCACCCCATCTCGCTGTATATATAAACCCCTCCCCTGGAACTTTTTCATTCTCAATAGATTTCTCTTTAGTTTTTCTTTTTCTTTTATTTTTTCTCTGTTTTTGGGGGACTCTGGCGGGTGAATATGGTGGATGGAGGCGGCGGAACGGCGTTTCCTGTGGTGTTTTTTGATGGGGAGAGGGAGATGAATATAGGGAGCGTGAATATCGACGCGGCGATGCAGTACAAGCCGTTCCAGTTGATGTTGAGTCACAAGATCGGTATCTCTCCGAATCAAATCTCCATTTATCTCGTTGCCCAGCAAAGGAATTCCAAGTTTGAGGATCGCCGGAGAATTCCGATTACTGGTAAGGTTAATTTTGCGTTGATTTCTCGCGAAAAGGATTGCTGCTTTCTCGTGGTGTTGAAAAGATCGCGAAAATCAAGAAACCGAAGGGTCAGAATGAATGGACTGGAGTTTGCCGATTTTTTGCCGGAATACGACTACTCACCAGAACCGGAGCCGGAGCGAGAGAATTTAATTCTGCTCCGACGTAATCAAACGTCGCCGTTTCTCAATCATGTTACGCAGACGGAGCTGGAGAATTTAAACAATCGGCTACATAATCTGAGGGGGCAGAGGGAGAACTATCAGATGCCAATTGCGAGACCGAACTTCATTCCTGCTTTGGACCCGGGCCCGATATTGGATTTGAATTCGTACCCGACGTTGTCGAAAAATTTGAATAAGAAGGCTTTCTGCAAAGAATGTGTGAATAGGAAGAATAACGGAGGAGCGGTGTCGTTTCATCCATGTGTAAATGACCCGGTAATTACTCATTTTCGAACCCGGTTCGGGCCTATCTCTCGGCCCACTAAATGAATTCTCTCTGCCGATCGGTTCCGTTCGATTTTGTGAAGAAGTTGATTGATAGATGAAAGTAGCCCCGTTGATTGGTTTGTGATGGTGATAGTAGTATTGCGTCCGCGTTGATAAAAGGTATGTACAGAGATATGGCATTTGAGGTTATGCCCTTGGAGAAGAATGTTGTTTTGCAGGTTACGTAGTTTACAACCGAAGGATTGGGTAGGGTTATTTGTAATTGGACAATGTTCTTCTATGGTTTTCTTTTTCTTTTTTCAAATGATTGAGTCCGAATTGCAGTTGCAATTTAAGTGACATTTATCGATAGGAGATTCACAAATTTAGGGTGCGTCTCATCGAGTTCAATTTCCTTGAGTAATGAATATATTTTTCTTGAATTTGGAAAAGGATGTGTCACCTTTGTACTTGTTGATTTGCTAATTGTGCCTGCCTATTTAGTACCATTGAGCACTTTCACCTTTTTCCTCCTCCTCTACAAGTGTGGATAGTAACTCAAAAGCGACACAAAGAAAACGACTCTGTACCAAATATTAGGCCCAAAATCAAGAGGAAACGCATTATCACACACAATTGGCAAATCAATTAGTAGCGGGGATTGGATTTACCTTGTCGTTTAAACAGTTGAACCAAGTCGTTTAATAAAATTTTGTTAAAAAATTTGAAATGGCTATAGTCAATTGTGGTAAAATTTAGCCCATGTTTGGTAGTCGTTTTTTTGGGAAAATATTGTTTTGAATATTAAATTTTTGGAGAATATGTAATTAAAAATTGGAAAAAAACTTGGATTTATGTGTGGAATATTTTATTTGAGTGAATGTGTAGTTGAAATTGAGTACGTAAAAATAAGAGTTGAGAAAAAAATGGGAGACAAAACATCTTTTTCCTTGTATACACTGACACACTTCGTTTCCAACAGAAAATTCTTCGCTTTTACTGACTTTCTCTCTCTCTTTGAGCCCATCCAGAGTTGAATCATCCCATTAGTTTTCTGAAAGAATTTTAGTTGACACGGTAATTTCAGACAAGTTTATCTCAATTACTGGGAAAATGAACAAATCCCACAAGAAATTTTCCAGTTCCGAATAGTTCAAGATCAGCAGTCGACACTGTTCTTCAACATCATATTTTCTCACCAACCAAACAGAGCATAAGAATGCACAATTAATAAACATACACTAATTTCAAACATATAATCCAACAAAAAATGATCGAAATAAAACAAAGATCCAACAAATTCAGTAAGGGTCGTTTGATTGCAAGAGTGGAAAATTGGTGCAAAGAAAATGAATTCTAGATAAAGTAATTGTTTAGATCTTGTTTTGTAGGGAATTGTTAATTAAGTGTGTTTGATTGATATAATTTTCCACCCGGAAAATTTTAAAATTTTTTGGATATTTTTGTGTCCGTTTAGCTGCTTCTTCAATAGTTGGTGTGTACTGTCTCTAGTTGTGTGGTTCGACAGAGGGGGAGAGAGTGAGAGGTCTCTTTCGTGGAAAATGTCGATGATTTTATAAAAAGAAATGGATAGAATTATAAAATGACCAAACTGCCACTCCTTGGTGTGAATAAAATAAAGATTCGGAAAATTAGAAATTATATTAATTTATCAAATATGCCGTCGTAGATTTATTTTATAAAATAGGCAATTGATTTTATTTGAAAAATTCAACTTTCCTAATGTTTGTACATTTGGACCTATGATGAGGATGAAAGAGTAGAGAGGGGTAACATTAATTCTGAGGCGTCGGATATGTTATATTTTCTACGAAGACTTTTGTTTTTCATTTATTTAAATATTTACTTAAACTAAATTTAGAAAGTTATCGAGTTAGATGGTGTGTCCATTTTTATCAATTTATCTTGTATAGTGGTTGGACCTATTTAAAACTGCTGGTGACAATAAGATGTGAAATGAATGCAACTTTTGTGTTTGACAACTAAAAACTTTAAAAAAAAAATAAAAATTCAATTGTCATTTGGAACATTATCGTTTGTTCGTTTAAAACACAATCAACTTTTTCATTCACACCATATTATATAATTTTTTTATATACAATTCTAATGTACAAGTTGCAAAATCGTGTCATTTACAAATTTTTCATCAATATTCCATTAAAACAAATACAATAAATGACCACAAAGGCTTTCCAAGTCTTAGTGGAATGATCTTTCACACATCAATTCATGCTCTCTTTGATCTTTTTGCTTTAGTGTCTTGTATTGTTTCATTTAATTGTTTAATTTCAATAAAATATTGTTGATATTTTGAAATGAGACCACATTTTTTATTTGTTGCATTATATTTTAATTTTACTTAAAAGTCCTTGATCATTTGAATCGTATAATTATGTTACCAACTTTTTTCAATACATTCTTATCATCGATATTATATTAATAAGCACATATCGTCTTTATTATTTCCGTCTAAAAACTCAGCCGAATGTTATAAAATGATTTATTTACCCATCATATTTTAAAAGAACAATAAATATGAAAATGTGATAAAAAAATTTTGAAAAATTCTTGGTGTACATAGGGGTGTCCATAACCCTCACATGAGGTGTCCATATATTATGTACACATAGCACATCCCAAAAAATTTTAATCTCATTACAAAGCACGTAAATAGAATATTTTGACAATTAATATAGTAACTAAAATATGATAGAATTAACAAAAAAATGTAATTATCCCCTTGTCCATGGCCTACATTGGAAATTTTGGGTTGGAATGCATGATGACGATGAATTTAGCAAGGGCTAATTGGTCAAAACAAGAAATCAATGATCGATGTATTTAGTAATTGTTCTTGGGTCATGGTTGAAGGTTTGGCATGTGAAATGCTGCATGATTGTAAAGATTATTCACTTTTTTGACATCTCGTGATTTTTTTTCCGATTTTAGAGTTTTCCATTGTGAGATCTTGACGTTTTCTTGAATTAAGGTATTAGAGGATAAATCGAGAAATTGGTCTAGTTCCTAATAGGGTGGTTCCCATCCTTGAATTTCGACCAATTTTAATCCAACTAAGAGAGAGGGTGCTACGAAATATTGAAAAAAATGATGCAACATTAGATCTCAACTCAAATTAAGCCACTTTATTGCACGGTCACAAAAAGTGACCAAAAATAGAGATTGAAAATTTGAGAGAATGAAGTGGAGTAACGCTATTAAGAACCATTGGTGTTTAATGATAAGTGTATTTTGTACATTTATCTAAGCTATTAAATTTGAGTATTTGTTAGTAATTTGGATGAATTATAACTTTAACTTTGCGTTAATTATATTTGTTAGGTCGAACTCAATGCAAATTGGTAGATTTGAAAAAACAGAACGAAAATCGTGCAAAAACTAAGGAAACCCAAAGTTTGGGGACGAAAGTGTAAACATTCAATAATTGATTCGGAGCACAAAACGATGATAAAAACGATGATTGAAGATCATATAAGATCAATTGAATGCAATTGGAGGTCAAATGAGTGAAATATAATGAAAGTATTTTCACAAATCAATTGCCAGCCGAAGAAGTTATGCTCTGAATTTTTAGTCTCAACTCGAGACCCATTTTCTGGGTAGCAAACATTTGAATTGGAAAAATTGTATCTCTGAAGAATTGTAGTCTTTTGAATTATCTTTCCAACTCATTTTGAATCACTTCAATCAGATATCTGTATAGAAAGTTATGGACAAAATACCGAGTGTTGATCAGGGACAAACAGAAATAACCTGCACGCACGGGGACAATTCATGGCGTGCGCACGACACCCTATTTTCCCCAACCCGAGAGCCATTGGGTTCTACGTCGTGCGGGCGATAGATATGCCGATGCGCACGGGGGCCATTTCTGAAGGCGAATCTTTAGTTTCCTTTCGCGATTCAAACTCTTTTGAAAACCAAATTAGACGTGATTTTGACTTATTTTTGGCTCTTGCCTCTTCATACACGTTATTTTAATCAAATTCATCAATAACAAGAGGCTAATTGCTATATTTTAAGAGAGAATATCAAGTCATAACAAGGAATTGAAGGTCAATTACATCAAAATTTTGAAAAATTCAACATTGGGTTTGAAGATCAACATTTTTTGATTTATTTAATGATTCGGGTGATATTTTTCTATTATTTTTCTTGTAATTTATATATTAATATGCTAGACTAGATCTGCTTTTGTATTTGATGAAAATGAATCATATTATTTATTTATTTTAATTCAAAACCAGTAGTTTAGTTTATTTATTGCGTTCTTTGATTAATTTTGTATATCTATTGCATTATTTAATTGATTGGCCACCATTAGATAATTAGTTGATTATTGTAGTGTTGGGAGACTCACTATAAATTTAAAACGTTGTAAAACTAACATGTATACAATAAATGTTAAGAATAACATTTATCACACGTGCAATTGTATAAATAATCTAAACTTTAATGCATTTCAATCATTTGAATTCAGGTTAGAAATATATTCGGGTCGTGGGTATGATATATTTAATTTGTCTTGGAAAAGAAAATTATATATTATAATTTTATCGATTGTCAAGAACATATTATCAGAACTAGATTACAAATCAAGAATTGAAGTAGATAGCAATAGGCGGATTCGAGATCCAATACAATCACCCATAATTTGATAAAAATCACATTTTTACAGCTTTCTTAGATTAATTAAATATAAAATAAATTCAAACTCTCTCTCTCTCTCTCTCTCTCTTTTTTTACATAATTCGAATCTCATAAAAAGTTTGTAAACTTGAATTGAATTTATTTTTTGTGGTACAATACTCTCAACTCATCAATTATATTACTTGTTAATGATTTTGTATGATTGCAAGTTTTGCACGAACATTTAACACCAATTTAGTTGCATCACTTGTGTTGTCATTAAATTATAAGTTCAATTGAATACAAAAATTTATGACTCATTTATTAGGATGCGAATATTCAAACTTAATGATATTAGATAACATTATTGAAAAAAAAAAAAAGAACAATGATAC